ATAATAATTGGTGTCGATGAATTTTTAATCCAATCTTGAGCACATATAAGAGATTCCACTAAGCTAGGAGTCAAAGAACTCCTAAAGTAGTCAAGAACCCTTCCTCCAAGTGCTAAATGTCAATTATGAGGAAACAGTAGAAACATGAACCGTCAATATATCCCTAGCCATTTGTGAAAGGATGGGAAACCGAGGAGAATTGGTTTTCCACCATTCTAAAATATTAAAATCAACACCGTTATTTTCAGCACCTTCATTAAGATATTTATCTAACTCAATTTTATTTTCTTCACCTCCAATATCACACTTGTATTTTTCAAAACGCATCATTATCTCCCTTTTTATTCTAATTTTTTCTTCATCAATCATTTCTTTATTTGCACAACCCACATCTATTTCCCGACTCCCACTACTTTAGCCAATTTCACCTTGAGATGTTGACGAACGACAATAGAAATCATACATAGCATACATAGATTCCTTGACAATATTTGACATTCTTTGACCCTCCAAATCACCATACAATTCATTGATTAAAAATTCAATAAATATAAGTTTATGCCTAGGATCAAGTATTATCGTAATATAAATCAACTTATTCATTTTCTTAATATCCCTCCAATACTTCTCAAACTTTTCTTTCATTTTATTGGTCAATGTAAAATAATCTAAATCCCCACTTCGTTGCCATTTTTTCAAAATATGTTCGAGAGCATAAATCTCTTCAAAATAAATATTTGAAGTCACATACAAAGAATCCGAAATACGTAAAGTGAGATTGTAAAAAATTTTCAACATGCCCACCAACTTCTTATAAGACTTCCAATCATCAACATTAGGTGGCCCAATAAAATTATCACCATGATCTACATCAAATTCACTCCTATATAAAGGATCAATTTGCTCATATCTCTTAAAAGCTCTCTCAAACTTTAGAGCCGACTCTAACATCAAGTATATTAAATTCCACCTAGTAGCAACATTTAGTTGTAACAAACTCCTATAATCAATTTTCTCAAGTTGAATGCATTCCTTAAATTTTTTCAACCTAGTCGGAGATTGCCTCACAAACCTAACGGTCGATCGAATACGAACGATTGAAGGATTAAAATGTTTTAACCCATCAACAATAACTAGATTCAAAGTATGTGCCATACACCTCATATGAATGAATTCACCATCTAAGATGCTATAACCCCAATTCTTAATAACATCTTTTAAGTGCCTAATTGCCACATCATTCAAACTCGCATTATCAACCGTAACATTAAAAACCTTCTTAACTCCCCAATCAATCAAGCATTTCTCAATGGCAATACCTAAATCTACTCTCTTATGACTATCAATCGGACAAAAATTCAAGATCTTTTTATGCAACTTCTAATCATTATCAATAAAATGAGCCATTAAACACATGTAATTTATTCTTTGAATAGATGTCCATGTGTCCGTAGTAAGGCTAATTCTTTGACTATTTTGTTTCAAAAATTGCTTCAACTTTATTTTCTCATCAAAATAAATTTGATAACAATCTCTTGAAATTGTAAAACGAGATGGAAGCTTGAATCTAGGTTGCAAATTAGATAAAAACTTTTTGAATCCCACGCCCTCTATATGCTTAAATGGAGCTCATCTAGAATGATTATTTCAGCTAAATCTTTTCTACTAATATTTTGATCAAAATTCTATATGGTAAGATTGTTTTCTCCCGCTTCAAGCTTTCTTAAGTCTAATTGAGTTTGGGTAGAGTCAATACAACTAAAAGGGTTTTTTTGTAAGTCAAAACATGAGACCCGAGTGAAGTTGTCCCATTTTTTAAAGGATCATAAGCAAATACCTTATCACAATAGTTACATTTAGCCTTCATGTTTTTCTTGTCATCTTCAAACTTTGTGAAATGATCCCATACCATCGATCTTGGCTTTATTGATTTCCTCTTCTTTCTTTTGCCACCGTCTTGAGTGTTACTTGGAGTTGCGATTGATTGTGGATTAGGATTGCTTGAATCCACAATTTCATAATTCATCTCTATGGATTGAGATTGTGACATCTACATAAAAACATAAGAAAAAAAGTATTAAGCTTCACAGTTCACACTCTTTAGTCTTTAAGCTTGAGCCAAAAAAAAAAAAACAATCTATCGCCAGCGACCAACGGGCGATAGGCTTTCATAAAAATTATTGTAGAATCGAGAATGAAGTTTTCATTACGTATATGCCATATCATAAATTAGTAACTACATCCAATCTCCAAAAAATCTCAATTGTTTCGAACTTTCTCTTTTTTTTTGGAATGGAATATTTACGAAATCCCCATAAATAGGATCAAACCTTATTCCATATTTTCATGGTATTTACCTCTTTCTTCTTCTTAAGCAATTCTCCGAGAGGGCTTAATTGATCCATGATTTATGTTTCATCTTTCGTTTCCTTTTCATTTGTTTCGAGAAATATAGCGATCCTTGGACTGTTGGGAATGATCTTACTTCCCTAGTTTGTACAAGTCTTTTTTTTTTTACTAATTACTATTATTCCGGATACGACATGGTATGAGATTATTTAGACTACAAGAGTAAACCAGATTATAGAGCAAGATTTGGTAAGTAATGGTCAACAAATTGGAATTCATTTATCAACGATTTTTTTCTTCCTTTTGAATTCATTTCAATAATTTCAAGGACTTATGTAAAGTTGTATAACTTGTATTTGCTAGAATATATACAAGTGAGCGATAGTAGTAGGCCTACTACCACTCGCTCACTTCGATCACTTGTATATATTCTAGCAAATACAAGTTATACAACTTTACATAAGTCCTCGAATTACTCAATTCACTAGCTAGTAGCCACGGGAAAGGGTTGACCATAACTTCTTCCAACTCCAAACATTGCAACATTACAAGTTTACAACGGAGACATTACGGAGAATATGCCCACGACATTACAACGGAGACATTATAGAGAATTCGAATATGCCCACAATATTACAACATACAACTCTTTAGTCTTTCCAACTCCAAACAACCGAGTATAATAAGTACCTACCAAATCCGAGAGTGAGATGGGCGAGAGAGAATGCCTAGATGGCTAGAGGTAGCGACAACGGCGGCGAGGCAACGACGGCGACGAGTGACGAGTGAGGGACTTAGGGCCTATACAACGGCAGCGAGGCAACGACAATCGACAGTGAGGGACTTAGGGTTAGGGATTTGCCGATTTGGTATTTTGGTATTTAACTATTTGGAATTGAAAATGAGAAGAGAAATAGTAAAAAGCCGAAATCGAATTCGAAATAAAAATAAGGAATAAATTTTGATTTTCGGTTTGAACCGAAATTTTTTTATAAAAATCGAATCGAAATAAATTTTGGTTTTTCGGTTCGGTTATAAATAGTAAATTTTAAATTCAAAATTGAACCGGATACCTTAATACGGTTCAATTTGATTCAATTTTCGATTAACCGAACCGTTTGCACACCCCTACTCTTTACTAAGCTTATCGTAACGAATGTCATAGTATACTAATCCTCTAATAAGATAACCATGATAACTTTAAGTCAAAGGACTACTTGTACCTATCTCATATGAGATTCTCATAGACTATATCAAATGGATTCTTATGGCTCACGTCTAGTGATATGTTCTCTAACATCATTAAACTATATCTTTGCTTAGGCATCACCATGTCAATAAGTGTGAGATATACTATCGTTATTTTATAATGAAAGCATAAGCATATACAAGTTTTACAAGTATATTGTTAATGTCTAATTTTGATAATGCTATGACTTGTAATATTTAATGATTTCATTTGAATGTATTGGTATTTGTCTCATATCTATTGATCCATCATCAAAGCAATGAACATCATATGGACTTCTATCTAATTCAATTAGATTATAAATAACGTGAATTAATAGAAAGATTTCTTTATTAATAAATATGTAATTATACAATATTCAAACTATTCAAAGAGGTTGGATCTTAGGCACCTACATTAACGGATACAACATCGTTTATAACATTTTCGATTGTGTTGCTTTCGGTTTAGTATTCATAGACTACAATTTTACTTTATAATTAGTTGGAATAACTTGTCGGGATATGTTTTATAAATATGAATACATCTAAAACTATGTAACACCACCACCACTTCTAGAGTTGGTCGACAAAATCAAATTATTTCAAATTTGTCGCAACATGCATAGCGATTTCATGTCTTTATGTAACTTAATTGCAACTCCTTGCTTTGACGATGATAATTAACAAATGTGTAAACAAGATCGTCTCGCTTTATATTATCGCTTGCCTTATTTGTTACATTTTATTACAAATTCAATCATCAAACAGACTTCTTTAACGATTCTAAAAAACTATTTTATTGATGTTGAGATATGATTATATGCTATATGTGAATTATTTTTTCATATGCTTTGGTGCATAAACCATTAGTTTCTACTTGTCACTAAAAATATACATACAATTTACTAGTCAAATCTCAAAAAACGTCTTCTTTTTTCGACAAACATCTATTGGAGAAACAACTTCTAAATAATCCAAAAAAAATGTTTGCAATTTGTGTTCAAATCAAACAATTGCCGTCAAATATTTAAATAAATTAGAGTTTTTTTTAACATATATTGTTAATTTTCGGCAGCATAGGATGGATATAAATCTAGTTTGGTGAAATAGTGGAACCCTACATATCGGCAACCTCATTCTCACAAAAAGGCAGACATATTGTCACGTGGTCAATACTATTTACCGTCGAAGGGCTGTCAACCAATCTTTGCCCTAATAAAATCTCCAAAGATTAGGCATCTTATCCAAATCGTGAGGATGGCATCTACATGATTATATTTCCTACCCACCCTAAACCTTATCTTCTGAAATCTCCTTCTCTTACTTACAAACCCGCCATCGATTTTCCTCTTGCTGTACCCCAATGTTATACGTCTTGTCTATCTGTATTGGATTGACATCTTTTTAGAATACCAAATACCATGGCAGCCATAATCCCGTTTCACTATTGTTCTTCTCTGGCTATCTCCAAACTATCCAGAAGCCATATACCTTTGGGAAACATTAGCCACGTCAATGCTGCTTGGTGGGGTAGGCAGCTCTCACTCAGATGTTCTCTCAAAAGCTCCGAGAAGGCTCAGCTCCGTAATAAACCGGTATTTGTTGTTTTTGTTTGGAATATGGTACCTTTTAGTGAATATATTTGATCTGGTGTTGATTTGAAAGAGTTGAAAATTTATGATGCTTCTCATTTATTCCGTCTTTCGTACTTGTAATTATTGCGGTTTGATGAAGTTTAACATTTTAAGTCAGATTTGAAGTACTTATTAAACTTGCTTGTAAAAGAATTTTCAAATCAGAACCTACAAAATCCACTTGGGAATTAACTTTTTTGTCGTGCTTGTTGCAATCCCAAATTTGCTACATGACCAAAGAATTTTCCTTTCACCACTGCAAGCCACCAGCCTGCTCCATTTGGCTCCGAATGATTGCTATTTGGGCCAAGCTTACTCTTGCATTGACCAACTTATTCTAATTGCAGCAAACGTAGAAAAGTCAGACAACCTAGCCTAATAATGATTAGAGTTTATTTTATCCTCTTTTTTTTTTTTTTTTTTTTTTTTTTTTTTTTCGCAGAAAGGGAAGTCATTTTCGTTAAAGGAGTGTGCAATCTCTGTTGCTTTGGCAGTTGGATTGGTAACAGGAATGACTTTTGTAGATTGGTCTCCAAATGCTTTTGCAGCTAATCCAGCGATGCCCGATCTTTCAGTGTTAATATCTGGACCACCAATCAAGGACCCGGGTGCATTATTAAGAAATGCTCTGCCAATTGATAATAAAGCTATAAGGGAAGTACAAAAGCCTCTTGAAGATATCACAGATAGTCTCAAGGTTGCCGGAGTCAAGGCACTTGATTCTGTGGAGAGAGTAAGAAACCTTTAGTTTTCCCATTTTCACCCCTCCTTGTATGGGAAATACGATGGCTTAATGGTATTTGTAAATTTTCTTTTTGGGTAATATAGAATGTCAGGCAAGCATCTCGAGCCTTTCAGCAGGGAAAGAGTTTAATTATCTCAGGCTTAGCTGAATCAAAGAAGGACCATGGAGTGGAGCTGCTTGATAAGCTTGAAACTGGAATGGGTGAACTTCAACAGATAGTGGAGGATCGGAACAGAGATGCTGTTGCACCTAAGCAGAAGGAGTTGCTTAATTATGTTGGCAGGTGAGTTTTGTAGTAGAATAATTTTGCTGAGGATTGAACTTCTTGATTTCTTCAAAATGGGCAAAGTGCATGAAGATTGGATTTGCACTTAGGGACAAACGTTTCTGCTGTTGCACTTCAATGACATATGCTTTTTCTCAGTTAGTACATTACTTTTTTCATTTTGTTGTTGCTGCGATATTACAGTCGAATCTAATGGTTTGACTTGGATTCCATTGTATTTTAAATCAATATGATTGATTGTGAAGTGTCACTGTGATCCTAAATATAAGTATTGAAATTCAAACTATAAGTGACTCAGAAAAAGCTATTGGTATATAATTTTAAAATGAAATAGCATTATAGCTTTGGATGTACAGAATGTGAAGCTGTGATGGAGTTATAAACAATTAAGTGTTTGTCAAATGTTTATATTGCATGAGCAATTGTGGTTCATTATATAATGTTGAATCTATTAATAACAATGAGTAATGATACTGAATCTGTTCTTGAATAACAGCCAGGAAGAATTTGTTAAGTTTACAAGTTGGCTTCTCACAACTTCTTTAGCCTAGTAATAAATTTTGATCTAAAAGAACAGCTGTGAAGAAAACTGAATAGAGGTTCTTGAATGTTCGATGTTTCTCCTTGTGGTGTTGGAAGCTGATATTAGCGTATGCTGCGTTGGTTAAAGATGTGGATAATCTGCAAGGCAGAACTTGAGGTCAAAATTCAATAAATTTGCAAAACATGCCTCCTTGAGATTGTGCTTGTTAGCATCTTGCCTTCTCTCTTGATTGCAAACCTTTATTTTCCCTTTACGTTTTACATCTAGTTGCACCAACATCAATTTGGTCTCCAATACAACCATATTGTATTCAAATTTGAACACAGAATAAACTCCTCCATGACACTTGGTACAAAAACAATACTCCCCATGGCTGATGGTCTTACTGTTACCACTATTTTTCCCACTCCCATGTTGCTATGGAGCACTAACGATAATGTATCCATGCATTATACCTCTTTTATAACTGCCTCCTGCATATCGCGTAAAAATTGAGGACTTACAAAAGTTAATTCTCTTAAGATAAAAACTATTCTCATAAATACCCTTGTCATTGACCTGCAGCTGAGATCTTCCTGGGGCATTGGGTTTCTGCAGTGTTGAAGAAGATATGGTGGAGGGCTTCCCATATGAGGTGCCTGAGGGATACCAGAGTATGCCTCTCTTGAAGGGAAGAGCAACTGTGGATATGAAGGTCAAGGTTAAAGACAATCCCAATATAGACGAGTGTATGTTCAGGATTGTTCTAGATGGTTACAATGCTCCTGTAACTGCTGGGAACTTTTTAGACTTGGTGCAACGGCACTTCTATGATGGAATGGAAATTCAAAGAGGTAAAATTTCTTAAAACATTGCATAATAAAAAAGTTGAGCTCTAATATGAATCATTCTGCCTTGGATGTCTTTTCCTACTATTATTTTCACACTACCAGGATCAGACTTTCAATTTGCATTACTGAATATCAAGGCATATTCATCTGTACTCTCAAAACGGTGCTAAAATTGCCTAGTACTGTTGTATAATTTCAATGTAATATCACTATCTCACATAAATTGGAAATGTTACCAATAGTTTGAGATTTTGTTTATGTAAATACCTTTGAGATTTCCTTGGACTTAATGCAGCGGATGGCTTTGTTGTTCAAACCGGAGATCCTGAAGGTCCTGCAGAGGGTTTTATTGATCCTAGTACGGGGAAAACTCGCACAATACCATTGGAAATCATGGTGAATGGAGAGAAATCACCTTTCTACGGGGCAACTTTGGAGGTAATACCCCTCCTGCACATGCACTCATACATCTTAGAGTAAGAATAGAAAGATAATGAAGAAAAAAGTCTTAATTTCATTGCATTTTTTTCTCTACTACGGTATATAATTTATCCAGGTCCATGTTAGAATTATAGTGAATCTATTGTCTGATTTTGGCTCTCTTTACCTTATGGTTCAGTTGAATGATCACTTGACTTAGTGTTCATCTCACCTGAGTCAGCAGTTCTAAGAAATCTTTATCCCCTCGCATGGATTGATCATGCTTTCCTATTGTGCTTAAGAGTTTTTAGCCTTTTACCATGGTCCTTGAAGTCACTAAAAAATATTCGAATTTTGTTAATCAGTGTATAATGAGAAAATACATGCAGCTCACTTAAAATGGTGTAGAAGCTCGACATTGATCAATTGAAATTCATAGTGCTCATTGCAGCTGAAAAAAAATAAGTATTCCCAGTTCCGGTGATGGATTCTTCTGTATGGGTGTCCTTAATTTGTGTGGTGCCACAATGTTCAAATTCTTTAACTCTCATATATATCTTGATAGAAGTTTTAATTTAGCTTTGAAAATTGCGTAATGTTAAAATTTTCATTATTTTTTGGGTATATCTTCATATTTTTATTATTTTCCCTGAAGGCATATTGCGCGTTTCTTTCATATTTATATCATTTTCCCCTCGTGCTGTTTCTGAAAATATCTGATCTTGTAAGATTTTATGATATTGTTGCTATGTTTCTTGACAGGAGCTTGGTTTATACAAGGCTCAAACAAGGCTTCCATTCAATGCTTTTGGAACAATGGCCATGGCCAGAGATGTGAGAACTTGATTTTTTAACTTTCTCATGTGAGTGCTGTCTGTTGATTCCAATATTCTAAAGGGTTAACCTGAAGTTGCCTTATTTTTAATTTTATTTTAACAGGAGTTTGAGAACAACTCAGCTTCAAGCCAAGTGTTTTGGCTATTAAAAGAAAGTGAGCTAACTCCCAGCAATGCAAATATATTGGATGGTCGATATGCTGTCTTCGGTTATGTTACAGAAAATGAGGATTATTTAGCAGATCTCAAGGTTGGTGATGTCATAGAGTCCATTCAAGTGGTTTCTGGCCTAGATAATTTGGTTAATCCAAGCTATAAGATTGCCGGTTAGTCCATTCAAACATTGATGTCTTGTTTCGGAATTTGGTGACTACAAACAATGAAGTATCCTGAGCAGATTTTTATTTTGTTATTTGTTGATTTCATTAAACGGTTATAAACTTCCCTCGTCGGTGAACTGTATCTTTCCAGTTGAGAATTTATTCGTTCTTCATATTGCGTACTCAGACCATAAGCATTGTCACGTATTTTATGCGAGCACTGAACAAAGTTTGCATCTTAGTTTCTGTTTAATAGATTCCTAGATCTAGCAAGTGTTGTCCATCAAGTCTGCTACTTGAAGATGTCATGAATGGAGTAGGTAGATCTTTCACCTTCGTATCTGACGTACGAGCTGAATAGCAGAAATCGATAACAAACTTATAAATTATGGGTTTAAAAGCAAATTTTGTTTCATTTTTATTGCGATTCAGTTATTTTGGGTCTATACTATTAAATTATGTAATTTGAATTCTAAAGAATTGAAGATTTGATATATGTAATTTAAATTATTCAATTTCTGTTATGTGTAATGGTTAATTAGGTTGATCGATATTTAAAATATCAAAATAATGTTATTTTGACATTTTGTTATTAATTATGTTTTTTTTTAAATAAAAAAAATATTTTTAACCTCTAATATTGAATTTTTTTAAAAGTTTTTTTTCCTTATAAAATATAAGAAACATTTTATAAATATTTTTAACTCTAATCTTGAAATTTTTTTAAAAAAAACTTTTTAAAAATATTATGGTAAAAAAAAAAAAACACATAATGAACAACATACAATTTCAAGCTTTAAAAAATATTTTATAAATTAAAACAAACATATTTAAGGATTGACACCTCTAATTGTATAAATTACAAAAAAAATTTATTTTAATAAAATATTTATAATAATTTAAAAAAGTTCAAAATTTAGGGGGGTAAAAATGTTTAGAAAATATTTTTTTTGTATAATTTATATAAATATTTATACGAAAAAAAGTTCAAAAAACTCAAAATTATAGGGTTAAAAATATTTTTTAAATATATATATTTTTTAAAAATAATTAATAGCGAAATGCACAACACTAGATGTTAGCTTTTAGATCTCATACTAGTCAATTGCTTATGCTAACCTGCAGGTCAGATTGAACAAAATCATTTTAAAATTTTTTAATTATAATTTTATATTTAATTAATTTTTTTATAATTGTTTTGCTTTAAAAAACATAAATCATTCTTCTTTATAGATTTATTTTAACTAAAATGTTAATCAAGAATTAAAAAAGTTTAAAAATTATATCTTTCATAATAATGTATTAAAAAAATAAAGTTATAATTAATAAATAAACTTTTATAAAAACTAACAAATGGAAAAAAAATCTTATTTAATGCTGATGAGAAGATTAATTTTTGAAATTATCCACGCAACGCAACGAGCAAATAGAACAAAATCATTTCAAATTTTTACCGTTTTTTATTTAATTATTACTATTTTTTGTTTTTCATATATTTTCTCCTTAATAAAACATGATTTATTTTTCTTTATTTAGGGATTCCTAAATAAAACTTGTAATATATAATTTAAAACTAAAATATTAATTTAAGAATTTAAAAATAAATATTTTAAAAATATATTGTTTCATAAGAATATATCCAAAACTATAAAGTTACAATTAATGTATAGACTTGCATAAACATTAATCAATAAAAAAATAAACATTTATTTTTATTTAATGTTGATGAGAAGATTATTATTTTAAAATACATATATTTGATCTATACATATTATATAATTGTCAATTTATGTGGAAAAAAAAATAACGATTGATTTTTTAAAATTTTAACACCCAATTAAATAAAAAAAAGAGCATAAATTGATGGAAAAAATCAAAAAAAGAAAAAAGAAAAAACATGTAGTGTATCAGCTAAGGATTAAAATTTTTATTTTAAAATTTCAAGAATCAAAACGAAATAATTTGAAAATTACCAACAAAAAAAAAAACCTAAGAAAAAAGAAAAAAATAAGAGTGAAAATTAAAAAAAATTAAAAAACCTAAGAGTGAATAGTGCATTGTGAGGGTACCCAAAAAAAAAAAAAAAAAAAAAAGGAGTGAATAATATATTGTGAGGGTAAGGGAAAAAAAAGAGTGAATAATACATTGTGAGGGGGAGAACAATATTGCCATAAAAACAAAAACTTTAAAAATATATTATTTTATAAGAATATATCGAAAAAAATAAAGTTATAATCAATGTATGGATTTGCATAAAAATTAATCAATGAAAAAATAAAATTTTATTCTTATTTAATGTTAATGAGAAGACTTTTTTTTAAAAAAAAGTATATACATATGATCTATATCTATATTATATAACCGTCGGTTTATATGAAAAAAAAAAAACAACGATTGATTTTTAAAAATTTTAACATCCTATTAAATAAAAAAACTATAAATTGATGGAAAAAGGTAAAGAAAAAAGGGCATGTAATGCATTAGACAAGGATTAAAATTTTTATTTTAAAATTTTAGGGATAAAAACAAAATAATTTGAAAATCATATAAAACAAACATAAGAAAAAAAAACAGATTGAAAATTATACAAAAAAAAAATCAAAATAAAATAATTTGAAAATAAAAAAAGCTAAGAAAAAAGAAAAAAAAAACCCAAGAGTGAAAGTTACCAAAAAAAATAAAATAAATTAAAAGTGAATAGTACATTGTGAGGGTTAAAAAAGAGAGGAGTAAACGAGTACATTGTGAGGGGGTGATTTTTAAATTATATATATAATCATCATCGTGTGTGAAAAAAATAACAATCAATTTTTTAAAAAATTTTAACAATCAAATAAATAAAAAAAGAATATAAATTGATGAAAAAAGCCAAAAAAAAAAAAACATTAAAGGAAAAAGAAAAGACATATAGTGCATCGGCTAGGGATTAAAATTTTTATTTAAAAAATTTTTGGGATCAAAATAAAAAATTAAAAAAATGAGAGAAAGAAAAAAATAAGAGTGAAAATTAAAAAAAAAAATAATGTGAAAATGAACTAAGAACTAAGAAAAAGAAAAAAGGAAAACCAAAAACTAAGAGTGAAAATAAAAATAAAAATAAAACCTAAGATTGGGTAGTATAGTGAATTAACTAAGAACTAAGAAAAAAAAAACTAAGAGTGAAAATTTAAAAAAAAAAAAAAACCTAAGATTGGGTAGTATAGTGTGAAAAAAAAAATTTCCAAATGAATAGTAGTGGGAAGTTCACTTGTTCATTCATTATTCATTTGAATAGTGAACTCCTCATGCGTTTTAGTTTATTGTGTGTGAAAAAAATAACAATCAATTTTTAGAAAATTTTAACACTCAATTAAATAAAAAAAGAATATAAATTGAAAAAAAAAACCCAAAAGAAAAAAGAAAAGACATATAGTACATTAGCTAGGGATTAAAATTTTTATTTTAAAATTTTTTGAGATCAAAATAAAATAATTTAAAAATTGAAAAAAGAAGAAGAAAAAGGTAAGAGTGAAAATTAAAACAAACAAAAAAAAAGAAATAATGTAAAAATTAACTAAGAACTAAGAAAAAAAGAAAACAAAAACTAAGAGTAAAAACAAAAAAAAAAAACCCTAAGATTGGGTAGTGTAGTGAATTAACTAAGAACTAAGAAAAAAGAGAAAAAAAATTAAGAGTGAAAATTAAAAAAAAAAACCTAATGTTGGGTAGTATAATGTGAGGGGATATATATATATATAACTATTCAAATGAACGAGTAGTGGGGAATTCACCTGTTCATTTGAACGAGTGAACTCCTTACGTGTTTTAGTTTATAGTTAATGATTAATCTAAAATAACATGTACTTTTGATTTGATCACTTCCCCTCCATCTTTTAGGCAACATAATATTATTGATAAATTTGCACATCCTTCATGCATAGTTTTAAATAATAGTCATTACAAAACTTAGTGACTATTATATAATGTATTTGGACATCTAGTTATCGTTATTCAATATTATTGGTATCCCGATGCCATTTTACACATATAACACCAAATAACGACATTAGCATCACGTAGTGTTGTTATTTTCCGATAGGTAATGATATATATGTGTGTACTGTGTGTGCGTGCGCGCGCGCTGTACTTTGTAGGCATGTGGCCTCTTTTTATTGTAATTTTTTATGTGCACACTAGATGTTTGGTGCAAGTTGTGTGTGGATGCTACTTATGATTTATTGATATGACGTTTAGAAGAAAAAAAATGTTTTTGTGTAGATCGTAGCAATAAAGTGTTTGAGTTCATGGATGAGAGGGAAAAACAATTTTTACGGAAGAGTCTTGAATTGATATGGGACTTTCTCTTTTTCTTTGAATGTCGGTAATGAAATATAAATTGCATCTCAAGACTTCACACCTCTTATGGTTATGTCTTTTTCAACATTTATGTCTCTACTTCTAAAAGCCTTTTGGAGTAGTCTTGAAATAAATAAAAAATAAGATACATAAGGAAAAATATCGTTTTACGGGGCAATTAGATTCATATAGTATATTGAGATTTGTATCATATAGTATATTGAGATTTGTATCTCATCATAGGATCTATTTCAAAATTCACAACATCCTAAAAATAATTGAATCATTTATGGTTGCTTCATTATTTAGGCAATTAGATTTGGAAGTACAATATAGTTAAGATTATAATTTTGATGAAAAGGGATCACAATATCAATAAAAAAAAGATAACTATTATTATGATCTTTTATAATTATTTTTTAAAAGATGAATATTTTATAATGTGTGTATTGAAGTTGTAATGCATTTTATTACTTTTTTTTTCATATTAATATATTTTAAGTGCTATTAACTATTTTTTATAGGTTTAATCACATAAGACGTCCCTCTACTATTGACATTTTCTTAATGTGGCCCATCTACTTTTTTTTCTTATTCATCACCTTTTGTACTCTTTAATTTTTCTTAATGTGGCCTCTATTACTGAAATTCGATGATTCTTTTGATTGGTGATGATAGATGATAAAAAGTTATCACATGGGATGACACATCAAATCAAAAATTCTCACGTGGCCTAAAATTTTTACATCGGCTTTGTACATTGATACCTTAGGGAGGTCTATGTTGTTTTGGCGGATGGGGGTGGCTTTGCAACTATGATTTACAACCAAAGCGCTTTAAGAACCCGGATGGAAACCTAAAAACTAGTTGAAGATCGGGATATTTAACTCCATTAATTTTATTGGGGTCTTTTGGTATGGTTTTATGGATATAAGAGTTGTACACTGGTTCTATCTCAATTTCAAAGACATTTGAAAACTCCTTAAGTATCGCAATGTCTTCTAATTTTGGGCTTCCCTCCTTTTTAGTATTAACTCTATTTACTAGGTAGCCCATGCTTCCATTTTTCATCATTTTTCAGTCTGTCATGGCTGGAATTAGGATTACGGGTCTCATCTTAGTTTCAACTTGCAACTCGAAAGGGTTGCTCACATGGTGGATGAAATATCACTTTTTGGCTAAAAAGTCAATCGATGCTCCATTCTTAGATAGCCAATCCACGTCTAGGATAACAAAGTCTTGAATAATCAAGACTTGTGAGGTTGACATGTAAAGTATAATCTCCGATTCTCGGTTCACATTCCTCAATTTTAGCGTTTGATTTTAGTGGCTCTCCGGATGGGGTGTCACTTTGTAAACAATATCTAATACTTTAGGTGTCATAACAATGATCGTGCAACAAATGTATGGCTTTTAAATCTACCAATGTATATGCGATAAGAATGGAAACTAAGACGATTACTGCATATGACATTGGCATGCTCCTTATTTGCTTCCTCCTACATCATCGTGTATACCCGACCAAGGACTCACCATCCTTCTCGCTTTCCTCTTTGGAAAATTCTTAGGCAAATGCCTTGCTTCTTGACAAAACTAGCACACATTTGTGGCAATCAAGCACCTTTACGAATACGGAAGACCATTAGTGCAAATTGGTATGTCTTGTTCTTTTGTCCTCTATGGCCTTACATGCTCCTTTCCTTCCTTGTTATCCGTATGCTAATTTTAATTAAAATGCCTTTTTCTACCAGATTGGTCTTGAAACTTATTTAGTGTACTTCCTCCTTTACTTGTACCAAAAGGTACTCATGTCCATTCTTTTTTATCTATTTCGATTCCCTATGCCTTCTCGATCAAATCCTTATAGGTGTTTGTCGACAATCGAACAAAACTTCTAACTCTGTGCCTTTAGTCGGTGAAGGAAATGTTCCTCCTTTTCTTCCTCATTTTCAACAATAAAAGTAGCGTAATGGCAACCATGTTCGAATTTACGAACATATTCTATTACCGACATGTCCTCTTGGACTAGTTGCGGGAACTCTTGATTTTTTCGAGACCTCATAGTATCTAAAAAAATACTCGAATTGAATAACTCCTTAAATCAGTTCAATGTAATTCATGCCACATCGATGGAAGCTTTCATTGGCTCCCACCAATTTCAAGCGTCTTTGACCAACATGAACGTCGCACATGCTATGCAATCTGCATCATTCATAGCTAAATGCTAAAAAATAACCTTTTTGGATTCCATCCATTCCTTTGCGATGGTGGGATTTGGGCTACCTCTAAATTTACGTGGATTAAACCTTTGGAAACGCTCCACCACTTTAGCCGATTGTGGTGGTCATGCTTCGATCGGCATAGGCTATCGCATCTCTATTGCCTTTATATATGTTCCTCGTGTGTCACTTATTGTTGTTCCATCATTTCTTAGTGCCTTTTGAGCGGCTATATTAACTCTCTTTTTAAAGGATCATGCATCTTATGAAGATGTGGAATAAAATATTTTTTTCTCTAATTAAGGCTCCCAAGATCAAGCCATTGAATCCACTTAACATATATACATAAATTAAAGAGTGAGTAAAGGATTATCTCTTGTAGCACAAATGTAGCCTTTGTAGAAAATAGTTATCCAAAGTATCCAATTATTATTGATAATCCACACAATTCAAATACCCACATAAGAAGCACTCGAAGTTGTAGAGTGTTAGCTCCACCTTTTTTTGCCTTGTTTAATATTTTTCTCTTTAAAAATCTATTTAGAGATATTTTGCGAGAACCCTAATTGAGAGGGAGAGTGATCAATGCATAATTAATATGATTTTTATGCTTTATTATATTGAACTCGTATAGTATTTATTGTATTGTATTAGTTAATTAAGAATAAGATGACGGTTTTGGATTTTTTTGAAAAAACAATGAATTAGAACAAAGAAACCTACAACCAAAACAAGGAAGAGAGAAGTCACCAAAGAGGCTTAAAAGAGTCACACAGATCACATGAAACAACAAAGAAAAAGCTATTGGCCATATGACATGAAGGAAGAAACCGTGTGGATTGCTCGACAACAAAGCCACACGGGGCAATAGCATTCCACACGACTAGAGGAAGAAATCCTACATGGCCGTGTGTATGTGTTAGGACAGACAAAGAGAAAAGAAGACCCTATAAGTAGTAGACATTATACGAGTTTGTAGTGCAAAGTCACACGCCCGAGTCTCATAAAGCAAAAATAGATCACACGAGCGAGAAAGATTCAACATGACTTGAAGGCAAAAGTCTACATGAGCGATAAGGAAGTAACACGGAATGAAGAACAAATACACACAACCATGTGTCTCTTATGAGCAAATCGTGTAATACTAATTCCTCAAGACTCCAAACCAACAAAATCCGAAATCGTTATTTTATTCTTAAATAACACAATATAATACAATAAATACTAGAAAGTTCAATGTAATAGAGAATAAAAATCATGTTAATTATGCATTTATCATTCTTGCATGCTATCATTCCAACATGCTACTAGTTGGTAATAATGACACGAATAGTCAAGTAATTCTATAAAAGGGGTTAATTAATAAAAGAAAAAGATTAGACTATTGAATAACGAATATCGATTAGATACATTTATTCTAGCTAATAGAAAAAGAATTTGACAAAACCAAAAGACATGGATCCATTTATTTTAACCTAAACTATTAAAATAAAAAATTTTAATAATGCATTTTAGATCGAAATTTGTAGGAAAAAGTTGGACTTATTAGTTATTTAATAGGCTTCCACAGACATAAACCATACATAATAACACCATAAGAAAGATATAGTGTCTTGTGTCTTGCATTGACTATAAGGCACAACGGTAATATACTCAATCTACTTTAGGTCCTAGGTAGGAGGTGTTATATAGGTTTCTTCATGTATCAATCGTAATAACTATCAAGTTCTTGTTAAACAAATCCTACACATATTTTCATAATTTGAAATATTTACTTTAAACATTAATGGATTCTAAGATTTCATTAATAGCCATCCTCACTCGAACCTAATATATATATATATATATATATATATATATATATATATATATATATATATATATATATATAAAGTAAAAATTACATCATTTAACTACGACTACAAGGTCAATCTAATTTAATAATAATAGGACTACTCATGGAGGCAATCCTTTCTTCCTTAAATAGCTTCAAATGTTAGGAAGTGAAGAGTTCAAATATAAAAGATAGCTTTGTTTTCTAGAAAAATATCTCCAAAGAGAATGGAAAATAAGATTTATGTTCAAATATGATTTTTTCTGGTTTAGAGAATTAGAAAACATGCCTTTTCGATTCTCCATTTCATAACTAGTTTTGAAAATTATATTTTTTATGTTTTCAAATTTTCCTATTAATTTCTTTTCATGTTTTCTATTAAAAAAAAAAAACACGCATTTCCATCTCTGTTTTTTAGGTAACAAAAACATCATTTATTATTTATACACATTTATAAAATCATTTTATATGCAGTTTTTGTTAATACAAGGGCTTATTTTCTCTTTCTTTAGGATTTTTAAGAGATCCAGTAGTCATACTAATCTCTTTCATTGTACATTTCATGTGATTTTTCTTTTATGTTATTGATCATAGGAAAAATGATTAAATTGTTATAAACAATGTCACTTGCTCGTCCATGTAATGAATTACTTGAAAAGATATTAATATTAATTAGTGTGAGATTGTATTAAAAAATCATTAAAATAAATAACTATATTTACATAAAAATTGATAAAAAAATTAAAGATTATTTTTGTTTGAACATGTCTTCCAATTTTCAAAATGAAAAATAATATTTCAATCCACCAAATGAACTCATGTTTTACATTCTCTTTGCATAATGAAAACTGAAAATGAATAAATAAAAAACTATTATATATATATATATATATATATATATATATATATATATATATATATATATATATATTATCTTTCGGCAAGCTTTTGTATTAATTAAGACTGAATTTACTACTTTCTGAGTTAAATAGGTAGTGAGTATTTTAAGGCAAGCTTTCATATTAAAGAAGATTAAATCTACTATTTTTTTTTAGTTAAATCAGCACCAAACACGCATTAACTACTGAATTCCATATTTAGTTTTTGGTTGACCACTAGATTTCTTTTTAAATCAAATCAGCTTAAATATAATATCACTAAAAAATAAGTATAACTAACTATTTTTGAATAGTGAGAATTAAACCTTGGCCTTAGTTAAATCAATGCAACTCTCTTATCATTAAATCACATCCCTTTAGCCACTAAGGAATAACTATTTTTTACAACTAAATAATCCCAAATAAATTTTCTCAAAATGCTAAAATATTTGCCTAGGGAAGAAAATTTAAATAGATCATTATACCTCACAATTTGCCCAATTTATTTCCTTTCTAGATGTAGATATTTGAAGCTAAAACATTGAATTTCAATTTCTACTTTGCTTTTCTTTCTTTTCTTTTTTTCGCTTTTTACAATTTTTTTTATTGGAGCTTATTTTTTACCATATGTGTCGAGATAATAAATACATCAACACCTAACAGAGTGAATTAACAGAAGATATAAATAGAAAAAAAAATCAGTATCTCAAATAGATAAAATTAAAATGAGGTTCTTAGAAAAATAATAAAAAGTTTTTTCGGTCCGAAAATATCTTTCTGTATTCCCTCCAAAACTAAAAACCGATGCCACCCATTGTTCCTCACCCGACCACACTCTCACACGTGGAGTGACATGCATGTTGCTACCATCGTTTGTCATCGATCCAACCACTTTCCTAAAAAAGAAAACGCAATATACATCTTCAATTAAAGCTTGTAACATGAGCTTCGAATTGATTTAAGTAAAATAATCAACAACAAAACTCAGGTAAGAAATTTTGACGCTAAAGTTTTATGAAGACAAGGAAAAAGGGAAAATCTATGGAATGATGCTTCAAACTCGTGCATGAGAAATTGTTGGAATGTTTACTTGGAAACCTAGCTCATGCATTAGTTTCTTCACTTCTTGTTTGGCCATCTGAACTATGCAAACTAGAGGACTCTTAAGGAAGCGGACGAAGCTTCAACTTCTGTTGGCGCATTTGATACCAAACTTTTTCTGCTATAAGAAACCCTGGAACTTCCAGACTCTAGTAGTGAAGTATTCATATAAGGAGGTTGATTTGGCGTAGGAATTTCGCAGTCACTATTCGTCAAAAAATGAACGACTTGTGCCATGGATGGTCTTAAGGCAGGTGAAGCTTGCGTGCACAGCAGCCCAATTTGAAGAACACATGATGCCTCATGTGCAGGAAAATCATCTCGGAGGCAAGGATCAACAGCATCAACCGATCTATTTGATCTGTAAAGCTGCCATACCTGAGGCCAAAAGGAAAGTGAAAGGTTACACATTATAAAACAACAAAAAATTAATGTTATTAAGCCTAATTGATCCAATTAATATGGATGAATCGATGCATAGGAGAACATTCTTTCTTGGTTAAGGAAGGTTTATGGTTTACAAAGAAATTAAGATTGAGATCATACTGTTTGTAGGAGGGATCCAGAGCTCTCCATTAAGGCATTGCACCTGCTACCGCCTAAAATCTCAAGAACCAAGACTCCAAAACTATAAACATCTGCTTTTTCGGTGAGTTGTCCACGGATGAGATACTCAGGAGCCATGTAGCCTCTGCATCATCAATAGGCGGGTATGTGTTTAAAACAGCCTTTGATTAAATGAAAAGAAAAGAAATAACACAAGTAAAGGACTTACGGTGTCCCAGCAATGTCAGTACTAAGATGCGATTTATCAGCACCAAAACACCGAACAAGTCCGAAGTCTGCAATCTTTGGACTGAGATTCTCATCAAGAAGGACGTTGCTGCTTTTTATGTCCCTATGTATTATTCTTACTTGAGAACCCCCATGAAGATATGCAAGCCCTTCTGCTGTTCCAAGAATTATTTTAAAACGCTGCTTCCAATTTACAGTCCTGCTTTTAGTCTTATCTGCATAAGAACAAAAGTCGGTCATCCTGCAAATTCTAATAGTTCATATGGTGCTAATTACTTTAAATAGATGTACTAGAAAAATAAGAAATGATTGGACATATATATGAAGTACACTCACACTTCTAAGTATCAAGAAAATTGATGAACAAATAAAAATCTGGCTCCATGAGAACTGGTGTAAAGGGGTGGCAATTACCAAAAAGGAACTGATCAAGGCTCTTGTTCGGAACATACTCGTAAACCAGCAGACTCTCAGGACCTTCAATGCTACAACCCAGCAGCTTCACGACATTCTTATGCTGAATTCCACTGATTAAATTGACTTCATTGAAGAAATCATCCACCCATTGCCTGGTGTTGAAAATCAATCTTTTTACAGCAACAGTTTTTCCATTTGGAAGAGTCCCAATGAATACAGAACCAGCTCCTCCTTCGCCTAGTTTCCTTGATGGGCTGAAATAATCTGTTGCCTTCTCCAAGGTCTCATATTTGAAGTTCAAACTTGATTTGCTGAAAGAGATTGAAATCTTGCCGAGATTGTTGTTGCGTTCTAGGTAATATGAGGGGAAACACAACAAATCAGGACATCACTTGTTAGGCCACCATTGCTTAAACATTACATGCTCCCAGTAAACTCGTTGTTAACTTCAAAATCTTAAGAATATAGCAAGTACCTTGTTTTGCCTTCAACAATCTTACATAGCTGGCATAAACTGCAAAGGAGGATAGCATGAGAAATGCGGCAGTTCCTAAAACTATGGCAAAGGTGATTCCTACGCCAGAAAATCCTGAAAAAGGACAAAACATACAAACAAAGCAGTCAGATGACAAAGTCCATAAATAGAGGTACGTCACAGAAATCACAAATAAGAAAGAAGGAAAGGTTATTAAAGATCCTGGACAACTGTATGCTTACCAATAAAACAATGAATTCCAGAATAAAGTGAAATATATAAATTTGATGCCCAAGATCAAGACTGAATTAATCCTTGACACATTAAATGAGCCTAATTCAACTATTCCAATTAAGTTGGATATGGAGTTTGGTTTAAAAAAAAAATGTACTAGAAACATCAGACTCCAAAAATCATGCCTTCCCTGATTCATTCCCCAGTATTCTCTCATCAACCAAATCATGAATTAGGGCAAAAACCACTCCACCCCTACACAAACCATAAAAAAGAAACAGTTGTCGTAAAATTGTAATGTAAGATAAAAAGTTACCATGACGATGACCATTCCCTGTATCACCTCCCCCTTTATTGTAAAACTTGGTAGTGGAGTACCTCAAGTAACAACCAGCATTCATTCCTCTCCCTTCCCTCTTGGGCACACACCCTCTCGCCGCCTTCCCAGCCTTCTCCAAGCATCCTCTACACCCTTCTCTGCCAACACTATGCCAACACTGAGCCAAGGCATAAATGTCCTTAACCTTGACAACTCCAAACCCACCATTCTCCACAGCTTTTATCGTTACATTACCAACAGCATAGCCAACACCTGCAAGAAACTCCACATCGTTGTGATTCTTATCATCAAAATTTTGATTACCACATTTGACAGTGTCAAAAGAAGAGGAGGAGACAGATTCTTGATAGAAGCTGTAGTTGTCATAACGCAAAAAGCAGCCATCAAGATAGATGCGGGCGGAGAGGAAAGGGAGGCAGCGAGGGAGCTTGGTGCGAGAAGCAGTATAGCAAAGGAGGCAGTCGGTTTGGGAGAGATCTTGGTGGCATTGAGCTAATGCATAAATACCGAGAGCGGAAGAGTAGTTGAGATGGTAAGTGGCAAAACGGGTAGTGGTTATGAGTTGTGAGAGATTTTCCATTTCTTTAACAAAAGCTGGGATGAAAGCGGGTGTAGATTTTGAGCTTCCACAGTAGAGGCCAGATACTGTTATTCTAGGATCACAGAGTGAGAGGGAGAAAAGGAAGGTGGCCGAGAAGATGAAGGAAAAGAAGAGCCATGTTTGATGATTTAGTATTAGTCTTGGAGGAGGATGGATGGAGATCATGTTTGAGTTTCGTTAATCTCTAAATTTGAGTTGAAGCAAAAGGAAAGAGTAAAGTGGTGTTTTGGCTCTTGTCGTGTTTATAATGTTTCTGCTTGCCTCTCCTTCAGATAGATGTACATGACCATTCTTCTCTCCGTTTCTCCTCCCGCCTTCGTGGAAGAGTACTTTTGAGGGGAGGATAGGCCTTTTATTTTGATTTGTCTCTACATTATTATTATTATTATTATTAGATTTATTAAAAATATTTAAGTCCAAAATTATGCAGAAAAAAAGTAGTCCTCAAAAATAGTCATGTCTTCACAAAACGACACGTCTTTAGCTTCCCCCTTTTGAATACACCGTTGGCGTCTTGGGTCGACAAAGAAAAACCCCAGTCAGCCGAGTGGTATTTTTCTATTCCTTCTCAATGGTTCCAGAATCAATAGACTTATGCCTCCTGCTTCAAAACCATGGCCTGTGCTTCTACTGAATTTCCTTTGATCGTATTTCCGGAAGAGAGAAAATCCTTCATCATAGCTTGGCTTTGACTCTAGTCACTAGCAAGTGGTAGTTGTATCATTGAATTTGGAACAGTCCTTTCCGAAATCTCTTATTTCCCAAAAATACCATCTCTATTATAGATTCTTCCTCGCATGATTCATTGTTAATAAAATAATTGAATGGATAAGTGACTTTTTTTTTTTTTTAACTAATATGCTTCTAACCTCCGATTTTTTTTTCTACATGTTATGAATGTACATGCTTGTAGATGTATCTTAATTTCATTGGTTTTTTTTTTTTTTCATGAATGTGATTGATATTTTATTATTATTATTATTATTACCATGTGAAATGTTTTTGGGATTAAATGTGTTTTGAGATTAAAGAAAAATAGAGTAATTAGAGTTAGGAGAAGTTTGATAAAACTGAAAATTAAATGTAAATACAGAATTTTAAGTGCTAAATAATTAAGTATTTAATATGTTCCTAAAAAGTTGTTTGATATTTAATGGATAATTAAGGTTTCTTTTGTTTTAGCTATAAGGATAGTAGAGATTTTTTTTCCAGTTGGTTTGTATAACTAAAGTTATAAGAATACATAATGATGATAAAGTTATATTTGAAAAGTTTTTAAAAAAATTTAATTGAATATGTTAATAAAAAAGTAATAAGTTAAAAATTTTAACTTATCTATTTAAGTAGATTTTGACTAAACTTAAAGTTTTAATATGAGACTATTTATGTTATTAAACAAATTTTTTATATTAAGTACTACAACTTAATTTTTTTAAGCTACATAAATAGGTTATCAAACACCCCTTTAGTTAAGTTAGATTATATTTATTAACAAAAATGGATCAAATAATTGATTTTTTTAGTCTTGAATGGAACTGTGGAAATGAGTTTTAATAAATAAAAAACAATTGGCGACTAATTATATAAAACGGGATAGCCACCATTTTCCTTCATTTTCTCTCGCTTCTCTTCTCTTTTCTTTCTCAAACCTTAACCTTCGACTTCAATTCTATCATCTCTCACCCATTTTTAACTTATTCCATAAAAAAAAAAAAAAAAAACTAGTTTATATTAGTTTTTGATTATATAAGTTGAAATTAAGTAAGATTGAAGATTGGAGAGTAAGTGTTCTTGAGCTTGAAATTAGTACCACAAAGAAAGGTATGATTTCTTTTATGAATTTTGTTTATTTGATGAATTATTAGATGATTATGGGATTGGATTGTGATGAGTTTGTCATTTGAGTCAAGATTCTTAAAATTAGGAATTGGGACCCATTTGATAAAAAAATATATAATTTAAGTGATTTTAATTGGTTAGATTATGATTAATTACTTTGTGTTAATGATTTATGAAGTTAATTTGGAATTTAATTAGTTAGATTTTTTTATATGAATTATTTTAGGATTCAACGAAATAAATTAGGATATTGTAGAGCTTAGGTTGAGCTAAAAAGTTCAATATGTTGTTTATGAATTTTTTTTTTTTTTTTTTTTGTGATGATAAAGTATTTTAAGTGGTTTATGAAAGAGTTCTTGTGATGATAAAAAAAGTTTTTTGGAAAGGTTGAAGATGATGAATAATGAAATACAAAATTTGTAGAAAACAAAGAATTAGGTTATATGAATACAATTAAAGATGAATAAAATGAGAATTGAGTAAATAAGAGTAGAATTGATGATGAAATTAGAGTTCAATTGATGAAATTGATAATGAGGCATGAAATTGAATGTTAATTGATGATGAAACATACTTAGTAAGTAGATACAAGTAATTAATAAGCAATTATCATACCACATTCATATGAAAGAAATTATGAGAAAGAATAAGAATTAATAAAATTAAAGGTTAGAGTTATATGATGAATGGCAATTTCTTATGTTATATGATTTGTATATTTAAGGTATTGAATAAGTCGAGGTACCGATTGTTAGAGAAAAGTTATGATCAGCAATGGTTTTAAGCGAATCAAATAAGTATAATTTATCTACACCATAGATGTAAATGTTATTTGATCCGTATTCATATGCATACATATGTTTTACATGTTGATCGTGATGAAATAAAATATTTAAAATAAATAAATGAGGTGATTATGTAAATGATATTTTTATGACATAAAATATTTTGAATGCATGTTGAGGTTTTAATGTTAACGGTAAAGGTTAACTGTTGAGGTTAACTCTTAAGGTTCAATGTTAAGGTTTTAAAAGTTGTGGATGTCTATTAAGGCTTAAACGTTGAGGTTTAAAGGTTAATGATTGACTATTCAATTTTCATTGAGGTTAAACCGTACTAGCCTAATGACCATAAAGAGGTGACTTTCTTATAGAGAAAAAGTCAAACTTATGGGCTATGGTACAATAGGTTGGCATCTTCTAGCAGCCCAAATATAAAAAAGAATTTTAAAAAGCATTCAATTAAAGTTTTTAATATAAAATCATGCATGTTGTACTTATTGAGATATTCGTATCTTACATTCACTCTATGGTGTAGGTACCAATTTAAATATTAAAGATCTTGACATTACTTCGATGTCTAGTGACTCATGTGCTTGCCTTGAGCATTCCTAAAGTAATGAAGAATGGATTATATTTTAATAAATGAGTATGAGTTTATGTATGAATATTTAAGGTTTACGAATGCTCTTATGAATATAAGATGTAAAAATGTTGAATTTCTAAATGTTAAAAATTATTGTTTAGTAACTAAGTATGAACAACGAGTTGAGATTATTTACGAATATTGAATGATGATGAATGATGTTTTATATATATATATATATAATTTAAGGATGAATTGTGGTAATACTCGTTAAGATAGAGTATGAATGAAATTTTAACAAAATGCTTTTGCTATATCAATGAGATGATCATGTGGTTATATTATTTATGATAGGTTTTAATTAATATATTTAATGATTAATGAGCTTAAATTAGGAATAAGGTTTAAGGATAATGAAAGGAGACGTCTATGACCCTTCAATTAAAGCATCTCGAGTAACGAGCGTTACAGACATGGTAGTAAAGCAAAATAAACTTTATGGAATTAATTCTAAAATAAGGTTATTGATTTTATAGAAATAGATAGGGATTGGATGTAAGAGGTATGTTGGCACACATGATTTCAAAGCCATGTAGCAACATCAACAAATAAGTGTTTCTTGCTTTATATGCATTATTGAACTAAGTTAAAATATGTATACGATATGTATAATCATATTTAAACCTTCTATTAATTTAAATGTTATGATCATGATTATACGATAAGATGTTATAAATTTAATCAATAATGAATGATGATGTAATAGAATACTAAGTTTGAACAAATGACTAATTAAATGTTAATTATTGTTGAGTTAGAATTGGAATTAGATCTAGTGAATTTAGTTTTAGAAATATATATATACATATTTGTGTATGTGTGCTTGTGAAAAATTATGGGTGTTTTATATGTTTGTGGATGATAGAATGTCTCCAAAAGAAGAATAAGAGACATTAAGGCCTAAAAGGATAGTGGTGCCCGAGAAATGGGTGTAAATAAGGTCTTACTACATCATATGCTAGATATGATGCAACAAGAGCAATAAGAGGAGTATATAAGGCAACCGATGGATCTACAACACCGGAGAATCGGAGGCCTCAAGCATAGAGAGGTAACATGGTGGAAAAATTTTGAAAGTTAAGTTTAAAGGAGTTTGTGGGAGACACTACTCCTATGGTTGCTAAAATTAGACTAAGTCCCTAGAGGTTATTGTTTAGCATCTAGGAGTGGAAGACTTTGATCGAGTGATGGGATTTGTGTTTATATTGGCTTGAGATGCAAGGGTTTGGTAGGATGTGGCTAAGGTCCCTTTGGATGTACCTAACTTAACCTGGACATGCTTCAAAGAGATATTCTTTGCAAAGTATTTTACGACAAATGTACGATCTAAAAAGGTGAAAGAGTTCCTTGATTTGAGGTAGGGAGATATGATTGCGGTAAAGTATGTTAGTCGATTTGATAACGAGAGCTAGTTTATCTTAATAGGGACCCCGAGTTGAAGAAGGAAGAATTTCTACAAAGACTTACTCCTCGAGTCAAGAGTATGGTGTCGATGTCTTATGTCGCCACTTATAATGGCATAGTCAATTGGGTATTGTTAGTCAAAAATGACCTAAAAGAGATTGTGAATGAACTTCAAGTGAAAAGGCCGAGGCCTAACTTCCCAATAAAGGCTAGGGGTTTGTTTGGTACTAAGAAAGCTAAAGGAAATGATGTTGCACCGAAGAGGAAAAAAGCTAATGGAACTCGCATGTGCCAAGTGTTAGAAAATGAACTTCGATAATCGTTTGTTAATTGATGATGAAATATAATTAATTAAGTAGATACAAATAATTAATTGATAATTATTGTACCAAATATTATAGGTAAGAAATTATGAGAAAGAAAAAGAATTAATAAAATTAAATATTAGAATTATATGACAAATTGTAATTTCTTATATGTGTGTGTGTGTGTGTGTG